CTCCTCCACTCCTCACACTCAGTGGCTTGATGAGGAATGGGGTTGAGAGGGAAAGCTCAACTGGAAGAGGAAGTGGAGGCCCTTGGGCAGGTGAGAGAAGCTGAGGGCTTTCTGAAGGGCTTGGGTTTCTGAAGCCACAGAAAGGCCAGTGAGTTAGCCGAAAGACATGGGGTGGGCCGGGCGTGGTGGCTCAAGCCTGTAATCCCAGCACTTTGGCAGGCAGATCACCTGAGATCAGAAGTTAGAGACCAGCCTGGCCAACATGGTGAAACTCTGTCTCTACTAAAAATACAAAAAATTAGCCAGGTGTGGTGGCAGGTGCCTGTAATCCCAGCTACTTGGGAGTCTGAAGCAAGAGAATTGCTTGAACCCAGGAGGTGGAGGTTGCAGTGAGTCAAGATCATGCCATTTCACTCCAGCCTGGGCAACAAGAGCAAAACTCTGTCCCAAATAAATAAAAAGAGATGGGGTGGGGGTGAGACCAGTTATATATTTCCTGGGGTCCAGGGCAAAATGAAAATGCAGGGCCCCTGCTTAAAAAGTAAGGACTTCAAGATGGCGACATCAGTTATGGGCCCTCCTTAGCCCAGGGCCCTGTGTGATGGCATGGATCACACTCCCATGAGGCCACCGCAGGAGGAAACACACTCTGAGGAGGGGGGCTCAGGGCAGCCCTTTGGGGTAGATGTGGGGGTTGGTGCACATGGGTGTTCACGTGGCATCTGGGACTAGCATCTGACTCTCATGTGGACATTTGGGTGGCATCTTCCACAGCGTAGGGCAGCTGCCGCCAAGTCTCTATAGGCACCAAGCCAGCAGTGTGGCTCGGGAGGCCGTATTCAGAGGGGAGCTGGTGCCACTGAGCATACGGGGGCTGTCTAGATCGTGAGCAAGCCGGGAAGAATGCATGTCTGGGGGTGGAGTGGTGTGTGAAGCATCAGGCGACAGAGCGTGGCTGTGTGTCTGCGGGCTTGGAGTGGGGCTGTGTGCACAGGCATGAGAGACAGGAGGCAGATGCCCTGGGATGGTGTGGTGCAGCGGAGAAGTTAGTGTGTCCCGTGGGTGTGAGAGGGTGTGCGCGCGCATGTGCTGTGACTGTGTGGGAGAGAGACTGTCAGTGTGTGGGGGTGTGTATGCCTATTCCCACCTGCCTTCTTGGGCACTGGCCCCTGCTGCCTTCCCTATTGTGAGGGGCTCCCAGGTGAAGACCTCTCCAGCGGCCCCAGCCCAGCCCCCAGGTTTTTGAGGGGACAGGTCCCCTCTCAGAGCGACATTCCTGCCTGCCAAGGGTGGGCAGCACCACCGAGTTGCCTCCTAGGCTGAGGGGTGATCCTGGGCCAGTGGTGTCAGATTCCCAGTGCCGAGCCCTCCCTCTGCAACCCTCTGAGGGCCTTTGTTGGAAGTTCAGACACACTTGTCAGAGGGGCGGGCAGAAGGCCACCTCCTAATCGGCTTTCCCAGAAGCTAAAGGAGAATGAGTAATGGGGGTGGAGGGCTCCAGCCCAGAGCAGCCCTGTGGGAAAGAGATGAGGGAGGTGCCCAGCCCTAAAGGGGTCCATCCCCCAGACCTTCTCAGCAGGGGCCCCTTCCTCGAGGGCTCCTAAGGAACCAGACCCCTGAACTGCAAGAACACCTCAACCTAGGCCTAAGAGAAGGGGGAATTGCCAGGTGTGGTGGCTCACGCCTGCAATCCCAGCACTTTGGGAGGCCAAGGCGGGTGGGTCACCTGAGGTCAAGAGCTCAAGACCAGCCTGGCCAACATGGTGAAACTCCGTCTCTACTAAAAATACAAAAAATTAGCCAGGTGTAGTGGTTGGCACCTATAGACTCAGCAATTTGGGAGGCTGAGGCAGGAGAATCACTTGAACCTGGGAGGCAGAGGTTACAGTGAGCTGAGATCACACCACTGCACGCTAGCCTGGGTAACCAGAGCAAAACTTCATCTCAAAAAAAAAAAAAAAAAGAGAGAGAGAGAGAAGGGGGAACTTGGACAGAAGTTTCAGGGGACCCCCCCGCGCCCTTCCCACTTCCTCCACCATGGGCTGAGCACCAACAGCACACTGGGCCCAGAACTGCTCAGCTTCTCAGCCTCCCCAGTACCTTCTCCTCTTTACCTCCTCTGAGCCACCCAGGAAGCAGGCTGGACCTGGCTAAAGATTCCCTTTCAACAGAAGAGGAAACTGCAGACCAGAGAGGGGCAGTTATTTGCCCTCAGTCAACAGCAAGCCAGGCTTAGCTCCTCCTGGCTCCATCAGTAGCTTCCTCTTCTCTTTGTGGTCAGCATTTCCCTGAGGTCCCATTCTCCGCCTCTCTCTCTGTAATTTCATTTAGTGACATGGCTTCATTCACCATCTCCCTGTGACAACCGTCAAGGTTAAGAGCATGGATTCTGAGGCCAGCCAGGTTCAGCCCTTGGTTGGCCCATGACTAGCTATGTGGCCATGGGCAAGTTATTTAACCCCTCTGTGCCTCAGTTTTCCCATCTGTGAACAAGGACGGTAATAGTACCTACCCCATGGAGTTAGGTAAGAATTAAGTCACTTGTTATGTGTAAGATCCCAAGCACAGAGAAAGTCTGTGTCAGCAGCAGAGATAGACCCTACATCTTCCCTTGAATAAATTGAAGACTCCTCAAAGGCAGCAAACAAGACTACTCTGAGCTCAGGACCATTTTCGGACACTCACCCCACTCTAACAGTTATAGGGGGTCTCCATCTAACCTATTGTCTGGCCAGAGACTCGAAAGTACCCTTGACCCTGCCCATCCTGCTGAAAATCACAAGATTTTCTTTCTGAAATGTCTCATCAATCAGACCCCTGCTCCCCACCCCTCCCCCAGTCCAGATGGATTCCATCCGACTCTCACCAGGACAGACACTGGCCTCCTTTGATCTCCTGCCCAGCTCCTTCTCATTGCACCACCATGCAGCAAAGGTGGGGGTAACTAAAATACACGTTAATCACCCCATCCCTCACTGGGAATAGCTTCCAGTGGCCCCCCACACACACAGCCTTGGCCCTTGGGCATGAGTCCAAGGCCCTTGATTCCCTTCTCATTCTCACCCCCTGGCACTATGCCCACCATCCTCAAGCCCCACCCAGACAGGTCCCTTTCTCTTTCAGGGCTCAGGGCTTTGGTGAGCTGGCTCAGTTCTGCAGCTTTCTAGGAGCTGTGCCTCTCCCAGAAAACTCTTCTTTTTGACTTCCTGGTGAACACTGGATCCATGAGAGTCAGGTCAACAGTCTCCTTCCCCAAGGGCCTTTCTGATTTCCCTAGACTGAGCTAAGGGTCCTCTTCTGTGCTCCCACAAATATTCTTTTTTTTTTCTTTTTCTGAGACAGAGTCTCGCTCTGTCACCCAGTCTGGAGCGCCAGTAACCCCATGGCTCACTGCAACCTCCGCCTCCCGGGTTCAAGCAATTCTCGTGTTCCAGCCTCCAGAGCAGATGAGTCGCTGGGATTACAGGCACACACCACCACGACCAGCTAATTTTTGTTATTTCCAGTAGAGACAGCGTTTCACCGTGTTGGAAGCTAGTCTTGAACTCCTGACCTCAGGTGATCTGCCCACCTTGGCCTTCCAAAGTGCTGGGATTACAGGGTGAGCCACAGCACCCGGCCCAAGGTCTCCATTTTTTGAATACCATATCATCCTGTTTGTATTGTTTTCCACCCAGCTCCCAGCACAGGGATAGGCATTCAGCAGGTGCTCTGTATATGCTGAGTGCATGAGCGATTTGAACTACAGTGTTACCAGGGTGCCCTTTATGCCAGGGAAGGTGTGTCCCATTGGGCTGAAGTACACAGGAGGCACTCAGTGGCTCAGGCTGGGGGAGGGAGCAGTGGGAGATTTGAGGCAGAAATTTGATCTCTCAGCTCCTCCCAGGGAGGCAGGGGACAAGGTGAAAGCGAGATGCTCCCAGCCCAGATCCTAGGCCACAGACGAGAGAGGAATGCGTCTCCTGGGGTGGACCTGGGAAGTGGGGAGGTCAGGGCCCGCCCCTGGGAAGCCCAGCAGACAGCCTCCTACATACATTCAGGCCTGCTGGGTTCTCCTACCAGGAAATCCACAGACAGGGGAGACTGTCACCTCCCCCAAACCTCAGCCAGGTGTCAGCACCACCTCTTCGGGCTCTCTTCCCTGTGCAGGCACTCTGGAGCTCCCGGGAAGGAGGTGGAGCCAAAGCAGCCAGGGCTGAGCAGAAATCTCATCTTCTTTTTCTTGAAATGCAGCCGGAGGGAGCAGGGTTTCACAGCAAGAACTTCCTGGCTGTGCATTTTTTCTGCAGTTATTGCCTGTATGTACAGTCTCGCCATCTATCTCATGCCGTCTCTCTTGAGCATCGTGAATGTGCTCATACACACACAGATGCAAGCAGACACTTAGGAATTCATAGCACAGGTTCTCAGACCTGCAGATAGACTTATAATAACATGGACACACCACAGTGTCCTGTGGCAGAAAGCCCTTCATCCTCTGCTTGCTCACCTCTGAGGACAGAGCTCACACCCTCTGAAGGCCTCCCTCTGCCCTGGAGAACAGCTCTGGCTGTAGATCCAAATGTGTCTTCCTACCACTCCCCTGGGGCCCTGGCTTACTTGCAGTTTCCCACAGAATCCCTTGCCTCTGTCTGTCCTGCAGACCCATCCTGCAGGCTCCCCTGAAAACTCCCAGGCATTGCTTGTCCCGGGCGGGCATCTCCTGTCCCCGCTACTCTGCCACTTGTGCTTGGGTAAGATCCAAACAGCCTAGAGAAGATGGAACCCTTCCCCATTATCTGCTCCCCTACAGCCACTCCAGAGTGGCATCCGGCTGCAGATTAGTAAGGGCCACAGAGAGAGCTACACTACACAGTCAGAGTGACAATGCCAATAGCGAGGTAGGCCGGCCTCCCTCCCCGCTGGCCACATCAACAGAGAGGCAGTGAACAGATCTGGAGACCCTGCCTATTCAGCCCACTGCAGGCATCTCTGGGAATGAAATGAACTGAGGCCTGGGCTGCTGGGTTCTCTTTTATTCGCCGGTAAGACAAAGAACAGGTCACAACATCACAGGGAATAAGACTGACAGAAGAACAGATACACAGAGTGTCATGCTGTACTACATAGAGGGCAGGGGAGGGGACAGGCAGGGGTGAGTTAAGTCTTGCTTTTTCAACTAACAGAATAAATAAATACAGTACACAGTGTTTTTGCCATGGGCTGGCACGACCTCTCTAAGCACAAATGGTCACAAAACAGCTGGTTTGGAAAGCAGTCTGTGCAGCCCACCAGCCTTGGAGTTGGGGTAGGGACCCAGGTCCCTGGACCATGCTCTGGGGGAGTGAGGAAGCAGGGAAGGGGAGACTCAGATAGGAGGGAGGGGCCAGGCATGAGGCATTCCACATTCTGCAAAGGGACAGTCAGAGCTTGAGCCTCTGGTCTCAGACCCAGGTTGGCCCAGTAGGCCTGGGAGGGGCTCCAGCATGAGGTGTAGTGGGCCTGTACCCTCTGCCCACCAGAAGGGACATGCGGCGCTGCTTACAAATGTGCTCAACGGAGATGCATGGTGCCGCTTATCAGTGTGCGTGAGAGACGAGCGTGCTCTGCTCTTGCCCTCCAGCTGCTTTCATACCCAAGGCTTGTTCCCTAAACTTGAGAGCCCTCCAAGGGCAGGACCACATGGACCTTTCCTGCCTTCTCTGGGTTTGTAGACTTGGGTCAATTGAATGGGACAAGTGTTAACAAACATCTGAGGGAAGCTGGGCTGCTCCTGAGTGGGCCTGCCTCCCGCCATGACAGAACATTGCCCCTTAGGAGGTCAGGGGAGCCTTCCTGGAGGAGGTGGTGATATCCAGGGCTGTTGGATTCCAAGGCCCAGTGACAATCACTCATACCCAGGAACTGACAAAAAGCGTCAGTCTAAAAGCAGCTAGGAAGCTTCCCATTCCTTACCAGATGATTATTTTTTGTTTTCAAAACAGAACTTCCTGGAGCTAATCCCAGAGGACAGTGGCCATTGGCCACAGAACCCCTCCCAAACCAAAAACCTCCTCTGTCCCTCCTGGAATCTGCCAATTTCCCACAGCGCTGCCTGTCTCTTCTCTGATGCTCCCATGGCTGGTGGATTCCCCTTCCAGATTCCAGACCTAGCAAGACACTTGAGGATTCTGAAACCTTCAGCTGCCTGTCTTGGTGCTTGCCACATGTAGGTGAGGTCTTTAGCCTGGATTCCAGGCCCCTCAGCCCCACCTCCCCTGAAGTCAGCCACCCCTTTCCTGTGGTCTATGGAGTCTCATCTCTGCTGCTTTGTTCAAACAGTTCTCCTGGCCCAGACTACCATCCCCCTCACTTTTCTCCTGTCCAAAGCCTTCTCCGTCTGCCCCCACCGAGGCTGACCCCCTCAAGGATGATAGGCATTGACTTCTCCGCAAACCAATCCTACCAGGACACCAACAGAACCTCTCTCTTCCCACTGAGAGATGAGACAAGCCTTAAGAATCTTTACCCTGGTTTTCAGATCAATGTCTTTAAGCAGGGGTTGGAGTGTTCAATGGTGAGCCACCAAGAGTTGGGAAGCATGACCAAGAATTTGTCCAAGCCATCCCTTCCCACTGCCCAGAGCCCCTGAGATCATGCAAATGTATGAAAATGGGGTGACCACAGAGACTGGCACTGGAACTCAAGAAAATCAGGATCAAATTCAGATTGTCTGAACTAGAGGGGATCCATTATACTTATGGGGAAACTAAGGCGGTATCTACAGAGAGGCTTGGGCGTACAACACTCCTTGCTCCACAGCAAGGCTACAGTAATTTTCTAATTCATACATTGTGCTTTTGAGAACCTTGCGTCATTGTCAATTGAACTAAAAACTTCGGTCCTGCAAGGTTGTGAGCACAGAATGCAGAAAGTAGAGCTGGCTAGGACCTTACAGCCATCTAACCCATACAGGGAAACAGACCCAGAGAGGCTACAGGCTTGCCCAAGGTCACACAACTTTTTTTTTTTTTTTTTTTTTGAGATGGATTCTCATTCTGTTGCCCAGGCTGGAGTGCAGTGGCGTGATCTTGGCTCACTGCAACCTACACCTCCCAGGTTCCAGCAATCCTCCCTCTTCAGCCTCCCGAGTAACTAGGATTATAGGCATGTGCCACCACGCCTGGCTAATTTTTATATTATTAGTAGAGACAGGGTATCACCACGTTGGGCCACGTTGGTCTTGAACTCCTGACCTCAGGTGATCTGCCGGCCTTGGTCTCCCAAAGTGCTGGGATTACAGGCATGAGCCACGGCCCTTGGTCAGTCATACAGCTTTGAAAGGGAGTTTGCTGATCTGGGTTTCCTGGCTATAAACAGGAACACACTTTTCCATGCCAGTGACTAGTTGGAGAGAAGCCCTTACCTCCATAACTGGCTCTGGGGCAGGAAGCCCACAGAAGCCTAAGCCTATGTGTTGCTGTATACTTTGCACGCACTGTGTGCAGGAGCAGTGTTCAACCTTCATTCCTGGTCAGCCACACCCCTGCCATGGACAGTACCTGCTGGATGTGGAAGCTGGGTTTGTGGGAGAGGAGCACCAGCCCTAGTGTCTCTGAGAGCACCTCTTCCCCTGCTGCCACACTCCAACTAGGGAAGTCTCTCAAATTAAGCTCTAGAGCCCTGTGGTTAGTCCTGGCTGAACACTGACACCAGGCCTCTGTCTTTGGAGGATTTACAGGCAGGAATGCTGGCCATTCTACTGCCTGCCCAGCCTGACTACTGCCTCCTCAATATTGGGAATGAGGACCTCAACACTGAGAAGAGAGAAGAGAAAGTAATTTATGACACCTTCTAGATGCCAGCCTGGGTGAGGGTGGGAGTAGGAGCCTGTGCCACCTCCCACCTGCAGCTCCAGATCCCCAGGGTCTCCAGCTAGGGGCTTGTTGCTTCTATTGGGCATGAAAAGGAACAGCTGCCTAGAGAGCGTGTGGGTGCAGGGAGGAGATAGGCAGGCAGGACAGAAGGGAGGGAACAGAAGGAGTGGAATGAGAAGTAGCAAAATTACTAAAACCCAAAACCAGCCACAACCCTGAACAGAACATAGCTTAAGAATTGACAACACCAACACAGCCAGCACTAAAGGAGGAAACCAAGGGCACGGGGAGAGACAGGGAGAAAGGTCAAGGGTGGAGAATACAGAGGCTGGGCAGAGATGGGGACAGGGACCAGGGCAGAGACCAGAAGAGGGAGATCAAGGGAAGAAGGAAGGAGAGAGAAGCAGAGAGGGGATGGCTAGAGTGAGCCACAGAAGCCGCAGGGTAGGGGTGGGAGGGAAGAAGAGATGGGAGCGGGGCAGGGGGCCTGGGGCAGGCAGGTGCCTGAAAATATAGCTTTATATATTTATATTTATATCTCACATTCCACATATAGACTCACTAGGGGGACAGAAGGGGAGGGAGGAAAGGGAGGAGGCACTATTGAGATGGGGATCTAGCCAGGGAGAGCCTCTCACTTCCCGGAGGAAAGCGTGAGGCACCCCAGCCTCTCACCTCCTCCCCATTCGGCTTCCAGGGGTTCCAGGCCATGCAGAGGGTGTGTAGGTGTGGGCTTCACTTTGGGCTGGGTATGGGGAAGCAGGGCAGGGAATAGGACACAGCCCTTAGGATCCCTGGGCTCATGGAGTTAACTCCTTGAGAGCCATCTGGGGATAACCACGGGGCGAGGAGGGGACACCCAAGACCCCTCGTTAGGTTGGAGGCCAGACAGTCAGTTGGGCAGTGTGTCGAGTCCCAGGGAGGCTGCATGCTGCTTAGCCCGGAGCCGCAGGTTCTCGATGCTTGTGGTTTTACTGTTCAGGGCAGCTGCTGCAGGAGCCAGGCCCGCCGGGGGTGCAGGCAGCAGTGGGGACCCCCACACACCCTGGTGGGCAGCAGCGGCTGCTGACAGGGACTGGTAGTAGGACTGGCAGTGCAGTGAGCCCAGCGGTGCCATGTTGACACCCAGATAGGGCACCGCGGCAGCAGCCGCCGCGGCAGCAGCAGGGGCGGGACCCCCCACTTCAAAGGATGAGTAGTGCACCAGGTTGTTGGTGGCCGCCATGTGCTGACGGAATTGCTCCTGCAGACGGAAGAGGCTCAGTGGGGATGAGGAGTAGGAGTGGGAGGGGCCCAGGAGGCCACCCCCTGGGGCCGCAGGAGGGAGGGTCAGGCTGCCTGGGGAATCTGCAAGCAGAGAACCCAAGAACAAAGCACTCAGGACAAGAGCATTTGTCTGCCAGGTGAAGTGCGCTCAGCCTTCTCACCCTCTTGGTGCTACAGACAAGACAGGCTTCAGCTGAAACCACATCCATCCCATCCCAGCCAGGGCATCCCCTGAAACAAGGCTCAGAATCCTAGGAGAAAGGGACCCAGGCTTCCTGGGAAAGCTCCGGGAGCCCTGCCAAGGTCCCCATGTCTGTCTCTTTTTCTCTTCAAGGGCTGTAACTTCCCCTCCCGCTCCCCTGCCCAGTGCTCCCATTCCCTCCCTCCAACCTTCAGCTCACAGCCCCATCCCCTCCCTGCTGGGCTGAGGGTTTGTGTCTGAGATATGCCTCATGCCAGAGCTCTGTTCCTTCAAGAAATGTGCTCGGAGTCTCTGCTGCATGTAGGAATCTCTAGTACCAATGCAGTATTTGCCCAGTATGCACTGGGACATCCAACTGGTTGTTAAATATTGGAATACTGGCTGGGTGTGGTGACTCATGCCTGTAATGCCAGCACTTTGGGAGGCTGAGGCGGGCAGATCACCTGAGGTCAGGAGTTTGAGACCATCCTGGCTAACACAGTGAAACCCCGTCTCTACTAAAAATACAAAAAGTTAGCCAGGCGTGGTGGCACACACCTGTAGTCCCAACTACTCCGGAGGCTGAGGCAGGAGATTCGCTTGAACCAAGGAGGTGGAGGTTGCAGTGAGCCAAGATCGTGCCACTGCACTCCAGCCTGGGCAACAGAGCGAGGCTCCGCCTCAAAATAAGAAATTGGAATACTTCCAAATGGTTGATAAATAATTTTTGCCCTGACCTCTGGCAGTATCCTTCCCCTGCTACTCAGCCCATCCCTCAGAACCCCCTGGACCTTCCCACAACTCTGCAACTAAAGGGTGAAGACCTGGCCCAAGCCTGCTGTGGCCAGTCCATTCTGATGGGCCATGCCCCTGAGAGGCAGTTGACTGCTCCCTCCCTACCTCCCACCTGCTTCACAGCTCAGGTCCCCCAGGGCCCAGCTCTCCCATGGCACCCCTCCAACCTCACCTGCCTTAGGGCTGCCCCTCTTGCAGCCCAGCCCCTTGCTCTCAGCCCCAGGGCTCTTCTCAGCTTTGGGGTCCTCAGCCCCTGCCCGAGGATCCTCCTCACGGTCTGGCTGATCCTCGGGAGCTGATTCACTGGCCGACTGCTCAGACAGACTCAGGTGAAGCTCAGCAGGGGGGTCACCGCCAGGCAGACGTGGGGGCTGGTCAGTGTCCAGCTGGGTATCTGGAGTGGGGGCCTCAGTCTTGCCTTCCCCATGGGAGCCCTCAGCCTCCTTCTGCTTCTGGAGCTGTTCCTTCTGCAGGCTGCGCTGCTTCTTCCGGAACTTGGCCCGGCGGTTCTTGAACCACACCTGGGGACAGGAAAGGAGCAGTCCGAGGTGGGTAAGAAAAAAGTGGGGTTAGCATGGAGCAGGGTGCTCCAAGAGAGGAGGTATGTGATAACATTGCCCCCACCCCTCTAGGGAACACACACCCTCTATCCCTTCCCAAACTCCCCTCCTATCACCGAAGGCTTTGATGGAGAGATCAGTTGCACCTTGGCACAGGGATGACATGCTGGCTCCAGGACAAGGCCAGACTGAGGGGCTGGTGTTTGTCTGCAAGGCCTAGTTAGGAGAGTTGGGCCCTACCTGCACCCGGGCTTCAGGCAGGTTGGTGCACATGGCCAGCCTCTCACGCATCACCACATCTGGGTAGTGAGTCTTCTGGAAGGTCTTTTCCAGGGCCTCCAGCTGCTGAGCCGTGAATGCCGTGCGGCTGCGACGTTGTTTGCGGTGCTGGGAACCATAGCGGGCCTCCAAGATGATGTCTTGAAATGTACAGCCGTTGGAGGGCAAGGAGAGGGGCCCATTTAATTACGGGAAATAGCTCTGAATCTTATCCTGCTCTGACCCACCGCGGATACCCAGGCTGCTGCCAGAGCTGACCCTGGTCTCTTGCCCTTAGAAGTCACCCATCCCTCTTCATATGGCTGTGGGCTTTCAAGGTTTCTCCACCCCATTATGCAGTATCAGGACCACAGAGGTCTAACTCAACTCCACAAACGGCTGTCAGGCATACGATTGTGGGGGAGGTCTTTGGTATTAGGGGTGGGTAAGTGGGTATTGCCCTAAGATGGATACTGTGAGTATATTTTGAGACTCCATGATGCTAATAATCTGTAGGTCTATATCACAAGAGTTCTAAGACCCTATAACCCTTAGATTCTGAATACTAAGACATCTTTAGCATTAGAGTACTGGTCTCTGCCCATGAGAAGCCAGGCTGGGCTGGTACCCATCTCGAGGTCTAGTAAAGGGAGGACTGACTAGGCAAATGGAATTCACTGGCACTCCATCCTCTGTTCTCTGCGTGTAAACCACCTCATCCCGGCTAGCCTAGAGTCTCTGATGGCAGGGCTTGAGGCTCCTGCTCTTCTGTTCCCTGAACAGAGAGCCTGGCTGAGGGGACGAACGAAGAAGGGAGGGTCGGGGCAGCAGGGCTCAGGTCTCAGGTCTCAGGTAAGGCTTGTTGCACTCAGTCTTGACCCTTGTGGCTGCCTCCCCAAGGACAGAAGGACAAAGAGACCAGGTTCTAACCACTGCAGGCTCGGAGGGGAGACAGGACTATGGACCACTGATTCCACGGTACCGTCCACATGTCTGGTAATATGATAACACCTAGGATAGGTACCTGCCTGGGGCTGGGGTCTAGCCTCCATCCTGGGGTCTAGCCTTTAGCCCTTTTGCTTGACTAGTCCTGGAGAATAGACAGTAACCTCTCTCCTCACTGCCTCCCATCATGTCATAATTGGATCCTGCCCTGTCTGTGCTGAAGGGCACTTGAGTCATCTCAGCCTCTGCGTAGGGCTGTCAGAGTCCTTCCCCTGCACTCCAGGGAATGGGAAGTCATTCACAACACCCTAAATAGGAAGAGGCGGCCAGGCACGGTGGCTCACAGCTGTAATCCCAGCACTTCAGGAGGCCAAGGCGGGTGGATCACCTGAGGTCAGGAGTTCGAGACCAGCCCAGCCAATGTGGCAAAACCCCATCTCTACTAAAAATACAAAAATTACCTGGGTGTGATGGCAGGCACCTGTAATCTCAGCTACTAGGGATGCTGAGGCAGGAGAATCCCTTGAACTCAGGAGGTAGAGGTTGCAGTGAGCTGAGATCACACCACTGCACTCCATCCAGCCTGGGCAACAGAGCAAAACTCCGTCTCAAAAAAAAAAAAAAATTAGGTGCAGAGGCCTGTAATCCCAGCACTTTGGGAGGCCGGTAGATCCCCTGAGGTCAGGAGTTTGAGACCAGCCTGGCCAACATGGTAAAACCCTGTCTCTACTAAAAATACAATAATTAGCCAGGCGTGGTGGCATGTGCCTGTAATCCCAGCTAGTGGGGAGGCTGAGGCGGGACAATCACTTGAACCCGGGTGGCAGAAATGGCAGCGAGCCAAGATGGCACCATTGCACTCCAGCCGGGCAACAACAGGGAAACTCTATCTAAAAAAAAAAAGAATAGGAAGAGGCAACTTGGTATCCAGGAAGCCCCAGACTTCGAGATACTTCTCCAGCTTAAAAAGGGAGCTCTGAACCCCTCACAGACTAACCTTAATCCTGGGCCTGACTCAGCCCTGAGCTCTTGCCGGTCATCCTGGGGCAGGGGAAGGAGTGGGGAGTGCTCTGTCAGCCCCACTCTGGTTGCAGGAGGAGCAACAGCTCAGCATCCTACTGCAGGCTCCAGGGACTGCAGGGAGGGGGGTAGGTGTTGCAGGGAGGCCAGACTCTTTGTTTGTTTGTTTTCTTTTCTTTTTTTTGTTCTTTCTTTTTATTTTATTTTATTTTATTTTATTTTATTTATTTATTTATTTATTTTATTTATTTATTTTATTTTATTTTCTGAAGCCAGATTTTTTAAACCTTGGGCAGAGCCTCTGCTGGAAGGCAAGTCTTCCATACAAAGGCTCACCTGGAGTTCATGTTCTTCCTTCTTAAGAATTAGAGAGCTGGGGGTGGGCTGAACACCCCAGTTCCTCTGACCCCACTGGCGGACATGAGCCCTTGTCCCTGACTCCTGTCTGTGCTCTGGTCCTTGGGTCCTGGAATACTGTCAGGAGCTAATGTCACCACCAGTTTGGGCACAGGACTGTATCAACATCCCCTCACTAGAAACTCATGCCTCCACATTGGTCCAGAGAAACTTTTATCCACTGAGTTCTGCCCAGAGGCCTGGCAGAGTCTAAAGGAATGAGACTGGCCATGCTCTCCTTGCGAGGCCAGTGCTGCTACCCATGTGGGTCCTCAGATCCCTTCCCAATCTGTGCCTTTCCTCGTGTTGACCCCTACTCCTTGCCATGCCTTTTTGAGGCCTGGTTCCTGCCCCTATGGCCTTCAAAAAGTTCTCCCTGACTAACCCAGCTGATCCTGTTGCTCTGAGCCGCCCCAGCATTTGACCCTGGACATCCTCCTGTTGTGCCCTCCTATGGGTCATGGGCACCTGTTCTCCCTAGGAGTTCCCTGAAGTTATCTGAGGCCTGCCTGGCACAGCTGCTCAAGGCTCTGCTGAATACTTTGCATATGTTATCACAGATCACCTCCCAACCACCCTGGGGGATGGGCATGGCCATTGTCTCCTTTTTATAAATAGAGAAACTGAGGCTCAGAGAAGAGAGCTGAGTGGGAAAGCCCCAAGCTGACTTCAAGTCTGGGACTCCAAAGCTCATATTTTTAGCCATGTTATTTTCCAACCCCACTCAGCCCAGATATAGCCTCTCTGAGCCTCCATTTCCTTGTTCATAAAATGGAAATACTAACGTCTCCACATGGGGATTGGATGATTTGATACACACAGAGAGAGACCCCCACAGTGCCTAACCCACAGTTGGTGTCAAAACACAGAAGCCGTTATTTACAATTCCCTGTGCCTTAATTCTCCTTGTCTGGGCACTCTGGCCCTCTTCCAGCTACTTCCCAGCCAGAATACTCTGGGCCCTCCTACCTCATTTCTTCACCTGTGAGATAGAGCTGATGCATGCCTCCCTCATGGGCTTGTTATGAGAATTTGAAGGCATAGGGCAGCTCCAGCGCCTTGGACAGTGTTGGCAAACAAAAGACGCTCTGGATATACACACATAGCTTTGAATTGACATTTCTCTGTGTGCTAAGTGATCTAAGTCTTTTGGAGCTGCCTAGAAGAAGCAGTGCTCCCTCTCCTGTTTGCCTTCCAGAACCTCCTCCCCCAATCCCCACAGTCCCGTCTCCATGGTCCAGTCCCCAGGGCCCTTACCAGCCAGGCGCTCAGCCAATGTAAGTGCATGCACCGAAGGCCGGTAGTCAGGGGCATGCTGGGCTTGCTGGGCTGCCTGCTGGTGCAGGTTGTACATGGCGCTCAGTGAGTTCATGGCATGCAGCGAGTAGCCGTTCACCCCGTAGTGCTGCATAGCGGCATCCGCCTACAGATGGAAGAGGGAAAGAGACATGAGGCAGGACTTTCAGATTCTGCCCTCAGGGAGACCCACCCCCAGTCCAGACTGGATGCCCACCTTCTTTTCTTTTCTTCTTTATCTTTTTTGAGATGGAGCTTTTGCTTTTGTTGCCCAATCTGGAGTGCAATGGCACGATCTCAGCTCGCCATAACCTCCACCTCCCAGGTTTAAGTGATTCTCCTGCCTCAGCCTCTGAAGTAGCTGGGATTACAAGCAGGTATTACTACGCCCAGCTAATTATTGTGTTTTTAGTAAAGATGGGTCTCTCCGTGTTGGTCAGGCTGGTCTTGAACTGCCAACTTCAGGTGATTCACCCACCTCATCCTCCCAAAGTGCTGGGATTACAGACGTGAACCACCACACCCGTCTGATGCCCACCTCTGATGGGGCAGAAGCTCTCTCTATCAGAAAGGAGCCTGTCTTGTGCATGGCTTACCGTGTGAGGGCTCTTGCATTCACTCCTTCATTCACCCACTCATTCATTGATTCACTCAGCAGGGCCAGTGTGGGTTTAGGGCTCTGGGCTAAAACCCAGGGCAGGCTAAACCTCAACTCCACCACTCAGGAGCTTTGTGGCTTTGGGCATGTCACTTCACTTCTCAGACCCACAGTTTCTCTATCTGCAACATGGGGTTAATATCAGTACCTGTCTCATAGGGTTACTGCAAGGATTAAGAGAAGCCTTTACAAAGGACTGGATTATAGTATATACTCAAAAGTATTAGTCGTTGTGATTTATAAATTCATTTGCTGCTTTATGCAATCATCTCTTCATTCAATTACTCGGGCGCTTATTCATTTTTACCTTCATTGATTCACTCACACACTTATTACTCATTCAACCAATACCCATTGAGGCCCATTTGGAGCCAAGCCCAGAACTAGATTCCCCATTGAGGCATTTGCTTTGAAATGAGATAAACCCTAATGTCCTGCACAAACGTAAGAATACTGTTGTTATTACTGTCATATACTCATTGCCATTACCTCCCATTATTCTCACCGTATCTCCAAGAAGCAAGCCAACCAAGAATGATGAGCCCCAGTTGCAGTTGAGTCTACTGAGGCTTAGAGAAAGAACAGCGACAAGTTGAGGCCACACAGCCAGTCCAAGGCCTGCCCCACTCCACATTCCTGCAGTCTTACTTTTTCATGGCCAATTGTCCCAAGGAAATCTTCCATTCCTCAGAGAAGACGTCCATCCTTCTGAGACAGCTCCACCATCAGCAGGAGGCTGCCAAGGTTCCATCTGGACCCTCACCCACCCTGCAGCAGTGTGAAATGTCATTTTTGGAATTGATTCCACATCTGGAATCTCCCCAAAACACAACAGTGTTTCCTATTTCCCAAGTGTGGGAGGTGAAAAGAAAAGACTGGGGCAATGGCAGGTCCATTTGATAAAAGGAAGACATATGCAGGTATCTCAGCTCCTCACTGAAATAGACGTGGGGTATACAGAATCAAACATCCACAGCATGCACACAAACACACACAGCTGCAGGCAAGCACACGCACATTTCGTGCACAAATACACGTACACAGATTCTTGGCAAGACATTCATAGAGCTGGCCTATTCACAGACACAAAATGTCATTTCCCCACCATTCCACACACAGACATGCTCACAGATATCTATTCATGCAGCAGAGACATCTACACACAAACATTACACTCACACACATCCATTTGCATATTACACATATTCATCCAACACATATTTATTAAGCACCCACTTACTAAATAGCAAAGTCCTTAGCTTCATGGAATTTACATTCCTAGATGTGGGAGGATGTATAACAATAAAAATATACGAACTAATGTCAGACAGGAATACGGTCTCTGAAGAAAAATAAGGCAGGGGAGGAGGATGACAAGAGAGAAAGGAGAAATTGTTGTAGAACATGTGGTCAGGAAAGGGCTCTGTGACATTTGAGTAGAAACTTAAAGGAGGCATGTGGAGCTCTCAGGGAGACTTTCTAGGCAGAAGGAACAGCAAGGACAAAGGCCCTGGGGCGTGGACAGGCTGTGACTGTAGAGCAGCAAGAAAGTAAGGGTGGATGGAGCACAGACAGAGGGAGCAGGTGAAGGAGGTGAGGTTGGAGAGACAGGGGCCACTAGCCAGAGGGCTCCACCACCCATTGTAATCCTATGGCTCAATGGAAATCCCATCTGAATTTTATCCTGAGTGTGATAGGATGCCCCTGGAGGGTCTTGAGGGGAGTGACATAATATGATCTGGGTTTTCTGTTTTGTTTTGTTTTTTTCTGAGACAAGGTCTTGCTGTATCTCCCAGGCTGAAGTGCAGTGGTACAATCTTGGCTCTCCACAGCCTCAATCTCTGGTACTCAAGCAATCCTCCTACCTCAGCCTCCTGGGTATGCTGGGACTACAGACGTGCACCATCATGCCAGGATAGTTTTTTAAATTTTTCTATAAAGACATGGTCTCACTATGTTGCCCAGGTTGGTCTCAAATTCTTGGGCTCAAGAAATCCTCCTGCCTTGGCTTCCCAAAGTGCTGGGATTACAGGCGTGAGCCACCACACCTGGCCTATGATTTATTTTTAAAAGCTCAATTTGGCTGCTATACAGAGAATAAACTGTAGAAGTGCAAGAAGAAAAGCAGAGAGAGCAGGCCACCGCAGAAGTCCAGGCTGGAGACCATGCTGCCTTCACTAGAGTGGGAGGAGGTGACGAAAAATGGTCAGATTCTGGTAGTTTGAAGGTAGAATTAGCATGATTGCTGATAGCTTAGTTATAAGATGTGAGAAAAAGAGACCAAAAAAAAAAAAAATAGGATAACTCAAGTTTCCATCCTGAGCAGCTGAGTGAAGATGGGTCTTTTCCTGAATGAAGAGCACTGAGTTGGAGAAGCAGATCTGGGGAGGGAGAGAATGGAAATCAAGGTTTGGAGGGATATGGCAAGAGTGACTGACATGTGAATTCAACTTCCAGGTAAGCATGTTGGATTGGCTGTTGGATGTGGGAGTCTGGAGCTGAGGGCTAGATTTACAGATTCTGAGTCAGCACTAACGCACTAGCTTCCTCCAACAGCCTTCACTTGCAGAAGCCTCCTCCACACACCAGAACCATAGCCTCAAGGCAGAAAGCTAAGAGAAAAGAGTGATAGATGACCAGGCGAGGTGGCTCACACCTGTAATCCCAGCACTTTGGGAGGCTGAGGCAGGCGGATCATGAGATCAGAAGTTTGAGACCAGCCTGGCCAACATAGTGAAACCCCATCTCTACTAAAAATACAAAAATCAGCCAGGCGTGGTGGTGGATTCCTGTAGTCCCAGCCACTCAGGAGGCTGAGGCAGGAGAATTGCTTGAACCCAGGAGGCGGAGGTTGTGGTGAGCCGAGATCCCACCATTGCACTCCAGCTTGGGCAACAAGAGTGAAACTCTGTCTCAAAAATAAATAAATAAATAAATACAGAGAAAAGAGTGATAACATGGTGAGGTGAAGAATCTACCCCTCAATATAACAGAATATCCATAAACAAAGCTAAAAAGCAAACAACAAATTTGGAAAAATATCTGTTATATGCTGTATATGCCATAGAGGAATTCATAAAACATAAATAGCACAAATCAAATAAAAGGCAATGTCCATCATATACAAAGAACTATTCTTTGGGAATACAAAAATAAAGCTGGGTGCAGTGGCACACACCTGTAGACCCAGCTATTCAGGATGCTAAAGTGGGGGGATCACTTGAGCCCAGGAGTTTGAATTCAGCCTGGGCAACATAGCAAGACCCCATCTCTAAATAACTAAATAAAAAGATGGTCACCTTAGTGAAAGATAGGCTAAGTAAATGAAGAAACAACTCAATAATAAAGAAATACAAATAGCCAACCAACATGACAAAAAGCTCAGCCTTATTATAACCAAAGAAAGGAAAAGTCTGGGTGATGTGACTTAGGCCTGTAGTCCCGGCACTTTGGGTGGCTGAGGTGGGCAGATCATTTGAGGTTAGGAGTTTGAGACCACTGGCCAGCATGGTGAAACACCACCACTAATAAATATAAAAATTAGCCAGGTGTGGTGGTCCATGCCTATAATCCCAGCTATTCAAAAGGCTGAGGCAGAAGAATCACTTGAACCCGGGAGGCAGAGGTTGCAGTGAGCTGAGATCACACCACTGCACTACAGCCTGGGCAACAGTGAAACTGTGTCTCAAAAAAAAAAAAATAAGATATCATTATTTACCAATCAGATTAGCAAATATAAAGAAAAATTATTACACAGGGTTATCTAGAGGAGTGGGAAATGGTCCTTCCCCTGCCTTGATGGCAGAAGAGCTATTTACTCCTTACATCAAAAGCCTTTAGAGAGTACAACAATTCCATTTCTAGAAATGTACCCTTCAAGTATGCAGAGATATGTGTATGGGAATATTTATCACAGCACTGCCTGTGATGGCAAACAATTGAAAACCTAACTGCCCATCGAGAGAGGATTAGTTTAGCAAATGAGGGGACAGGCAGGCCCACGGTGGAATACGGCACTGCCATTTAAGATGATGTGTATCTCTGTGTGCTGATGTTCACAATATACTGTTGAGTGGGAGAAATAGGTAACAAAACAGTATGCATAATGTGATCCCATTTTTGTAATGCATGTATAAATATGCATAGAAAAAATTCTGGAAGGCGATACCCTTAAATGTTAACAGAGGTCATCTCTGGGAGATAGCAGATGGGATTACAGGTGATTTTCACATTTATATTATTTCTTTCTTTCTTTTTTGGTGGGGCAGGGGCTGGGAGGAGGTATCCACGTCTTTTGCTGGATATGAGGATGAAACCAGGCTCCAGAGTGTGTCAGAAGCTCCAGGTGAGGAAGGGGGAAAGAGTTTAGAAGTCATTTCATCCATCCCAACTCCTGCTATTGGAATGCCTCTCCCCCACCAAACTCAGGGGCTTTGTTGCTTTAAAATTCAGTGTTGTTTAGGTGGTAA